CCCCCTCCCCCCCCAGCCACTGGCATGGCGAGGGGAGAGTAACGACCAGTTGAGGAAGGGCAGTAGAGGGGCCCAAGGCGGGCCTCCGGGGGAAACGTAAGTCCCGCCATGGGCAGCACTGGCCCAGCAAGGACCATGGGCTCTCGGTCCTGGCTCTACCCAGCTCCTGTTCTTGAATGGAAGTCTGAGCCGTTTGGGGTGCCTCACCCCAGTTTGCTCTGTTCCAGGCTGGGAAGCTGGTGTTCTCCAGGGGCCTGCACCTCCTGAGCTCAGGTCAGGGGTCACAGAAGGAGCCCACCACAGCCTAGTCCACTTGGAGAGGGTCCGAGCTCTTGTCCCTTCCCTTCAGCCTTTGTCTTAACATCTTTGCCTCAAGGCGCAGGGCCACTTGGGTCACCCTCAGTCCCAGGTGAGGTCCCTGAACATGGGCAGCAAGTTCTCAAGGACAGATGTTGGGGCGAGCACATTTAGGTTCAATTCAGTCCAACAGGTGGCGCCCGGCCAGCAAGGGGTGAGCTGCTCGGGGTCCACACCTGCACACGCTCACAGTAGCTCCCGGGTTGCCAATGAATGGACAGAGAAACTGAGGCAGAGCAGGCCGCTCCTGCTCCGAGGGCAGAGGCCTGTCACACAGCTTTTCTCCACACTCGCCACTCAGGGGACCACTGTGCAGAGCTGGGGACCTGGGGTTTAGTCCTGACGCCGACTGTCATGAATCAGCGCCACGATTCTGGGCAAAGTCACATCTCTTCTCTGGGCCTCAGTCCCCTCATCTGTAAAAATGACACTTAGCAAACTAGTAATGCTCAATAAATGTTAAACTGGCTTGAAAGAGGTGGGCTGGACACCGCTTCTGGTGCAGTGCAGTTAGGAATTTTAGGAACAGGGAGCCCCTGGGGTGCTGGAGAGGGGTGAAGCTGGGGAGGCAGTTCTGAGTGGTGGTGGTTAGGCAGGTGCAGTGGCTCTGTAAACACAAAGGCCCTCCCCTGTCTGCTGCATCCCCAACGGCCAGGTGGCTGTGCTACGGCTTCTGTTCACTGCTGTCATAGGATAACTAAAGACGGGAGGAAAAAGATGGAAGCCCCAGGGCCTGGTGGGAGGAGCCAGAGACAAGACTGGCCTGAGCCCGAGAATGAGTGAGGCAGAGTGGTGTGGATGAGTCTGGGATGCGCTCCCCCTGGAAGCTCTGCCCTGTGCCATGGGAGAAGGCCAGGAGGACTGGGTCAGCTGGAACTCACCCTCCCTTCCTGTGTCCCCACCCAAGTAGGAGTCCCATCAGGAGCTGGCTCGGCACTGACAGTTCAACGGCAGATGGGACCCAGGTGTCCTCCTGGGTGGGTGGCACAGCCCATAGAAGCCAGATGGTGTTTGTGGTGGGAAGAGAGGCCCAAGTCGTCCAGCAGAGCTGTCATCCCCATTGCCCTCCCGACTGCACCCCCAGCTTTTTGCAGCCCCGTGGCAGGGGAAGACACAGCCAGGCCTGGATTTTATAAAACAAGTTTATTCACATTTTAGAAAAAAAAAATCTGATTCTGGGACAGGGAATGGCCTCCCTATAGGACGGGTGTGAGATTAAAACAGAGGCCAGAAGGAGGAGTTCGGGAGGGAAGTGGGGTGTGGAGGTCGTGTCTCCCACGCTGGGTGGGACAGGTCAAATAAATTAACGGAAGTCTAGGCAGGAGAGAGGACCCAGGCAACCGGAGGAGGGCTGGAGCAGGCGGAAGAGCAACACCTGCGAGGCCTGGAAAGGGGACATGGAGCAGATGGGGACGAGAGCTCCGAGCAGGCCCCTCCTGGCCCTCACCCACCACCAGGACCCTGCAGAACTGAGCTGGCCGCTCCCTGTCCAGGGCTTGGGGAGCAGCTTAGCTCAGGACTTGGGGGTGAGAAGCTTGGGGAAGATGAGGCTGGAGGTTCTCTTCCCTCACCTGGGGAGAGGGAGATCACCGTTTTCGCAGCCTCCTCATGAAGCAGCAGGTGATGGTGCCAAGGACAGTGGCGCCAGTGACGAGGGCCACCCCTGCACCCACCAGCAGGGGCACGAATAGGGTGTCCAGGGCTGGAGGAGAAAGCATGGCTCTGTTCAGAGGGGTCGTCATCCTCACCCACTGTCACACCTGCCTCTCAGCAGTCTCCGCCAGGAGCTCTGGGCCCACCCCACACACACTCAGGCCACCCCCACACACGCACAGGTCACCCCCACACACACTCAGGCCACCCCCACACACGCTCAGGTCACCCCTCCCCCAGCCCCGCCTGCATTCTCAGCAATCACTCCAACATCCACGAGGACCCCGGAGCAGAGAGGCATGGAGAGCTGGACTTGCAAGACTTTCCCCTGAAGTGGTGCAGAGGAGAGGACAGCCGAAGGAGGGTCAAGAGATGCAAGGAGAGGGAAGCAGGGGGGAAGGGGTGGGGGGAGCCACTCACCGTGTGTGTAGGGGTAAACTGTGACAGGCCCTGAGCGGGCACTGCCTGCCTGGTACCAGCTGTCATCGGCGTGTCGCACCCAGGCACTGGGGGCGCAGTGGTACACACCTTCGTCCTCGGGCGCCAAGCTGTGCAGCCTCAGCCGATGGCTTCGGGGCCCCACCAACTCTACGCTGATGGGGCCTCCTCCTGGCCGGAGCCCCAGCTCTGCCACACCGTCCTGGCCCACGCCACCCACCAGCTGGGCAGGGGCAGAGCTCAGCACCCCCTCCTCTGGTCGCTCCACCCACCAGCTGGCAGCCAGCCGCAGCCCTGGGGGGCCGCCACGCACGGAGATGTTGCACAACAGGGAGGCGGTCTCCCCCCGGTACACGGTGCCCCCTGCCAGCCATGCCACAGCCTCCAGCACCACACCTGCAAACAGAGGACGTGGGGCAGAGGTGTAGGGGCAGGGGGCTAGGACTACCATCCCAGCGAAACCCCAAGAAACTCGGGGTATTCCCACAACATTGATGGAAGAGGGGGCGAGAATGAGGTGTGGAGGCAGCTGGCAAAGAAGGGGAGAAGGCATGGGGACAGAGCAAAAGGGTCTACCAGCCCCAAATCCCTCTCACCTTCCTCCCGCACATGCACAGGGAGAGGCCGTGAGCGGGCACTGGCTGCTTCTCGAAGCCGAGTCCCCGACCCTCGCACGTAGGCCTTGGCGAGGCAGCGGTAGGTGCCTGCGTCACCAGGCCGGGCCGCCTCCAGTCGTAGCCGGTAGGTGCGGGATGCCACCTTCTCCATGGCAATGTGCCGGCCCTCATAGCCGGGGCCCAGGCTGCCCACACCTTCCGTGTCTAGCTGGGCCACCAAGCGGCCAGGCCCAGGGGCCCCCGCAGGTGCCATCTCCCAGCCCACAGAGTACGCAGCATGCCGGCCCGGCGGGGGCAGGGCGCCCGACACGTTGCACAGCAGTTCCAAGGGCTCCCCGGGGCCGATGCGACGTTCCCCAGGCCCCACCGTCACTGCCAGCTGGCTGGCTGGAATGGAACACAGGCAGAAGGTGTCACAGAGGCAGGAGGGGGCACAGAGATGCCCGAGTCCCCAACTGAGGTTCTGTCCTGGACAGCAGCAATTAGGAGGCTTCCTACATGCTTCTTACTCTGTGTGGCCATCTTCTCCCCTTACCCCTGGTGGCCTGAATCTCACCCCTCAGCTATGGCCGTCCTATCCCCACACCAATCTCTGGGCAGAGAAAGCCCTTCAAGACAGAGGGGGAGGTGATGCTAACGGGGCTGCCCACTCTATGGGAGATGAGGTCCTCGGAGCTGGACGATGACCCTGGTGGCCGTGGTGCCCACTGAGATGCCATTCCTCCCAGCCCCTACTCACACAGCGTCTGCACGTCCACATGGGCCAGGACAGCCCTCTTCTCCGCGATCTGCGCCCAGCTGCCATCGGGATCCTGAATCCACTCGGCGGCGGTGCAGTGGTAGGTGCCCGAGTCCCCTGCCTGGGCACCCCGTGTTGCCAAGTCTCCTCCCGCCTCCCCTCCTCCCGCTGTTTTCCCTCCCTCCGGAGACCGTTCCCGCTCCGCCCGGACTCCCGGCCCCGCCGGTAGGTGCCCGATTCCCCTGCCTGGGCACCCCCCACCACCATGCGGTAGCGGTCAGTGCCCTCCTTGGCCAGCCGCAGCTCCCCCGCAGTCAGCCGCTCAGCATAGGGCGCTCCAGCCTCCACAGCCAAATCGGGCCGGAGCCCCACCACTTCCTGCAGAGTCGCTCGCCCCACGGGGGCCTCGGGCACGGCTCGCCCGAAGGACACAGCCAGGTGCGTGTGCTGCTGGGTGCTCGTGCGCGCCAGGCAACCCAGGGCCAGCTCCTGTCCCTCATGCACTGTCAGGCGTGGGGGCGAGGTGGGGGCCTGGCGGCCTCGGGGCCCTGGGGGGGCAGCAGACACCTGCAGCACATCTGGAAGAACTGGAAAGCACAGCTGGGGTGAGGGAGGCCCAGAGGCTGGCAGCCTTGCTACTACTTCCTGTGTACAGCCCATTTCCTGAACAGACTGTGAGCCCCGCGAGGGCAAGGACAGCACGGGGACTTCTTCTGTACCTCGCCGGTGCCCAGTGTGCTGGACACACCACAGGCACGCAATAAATACTTGCGAGTCCACAGAACCGCCAGAGCCTATGCATCCTATGTTTGAAGTCAACCCCTTGAAATTCTCAAAAAAGTGCCTCCTTCCTTCCCAGTAGGCAAGGAAGCTTAGAGAGTGAGAAAGTCACGTGGTCTAACTCCTTCTCCACTCTCCTCCCTCCCTCAGGTCTGGGCCTGGGCTCCCCAGGAGTGTCTCTTCAACCCATTGGGCTTCCCCCCTTTCCAGGAATGGAGAGGGACTGGGAGCGTCCCTCCTCTCTTCTCGGCAGCAGCCTACTGTGCTAGGAGGAACGGGCCGGAGTGATGCGACCTGGACGCGAGTCCCTCACCAGGCATGGACTCTTTGGGTGACTCGATTCAAGTCACTTTCCCTTCTTTGGGCCCCGAGTTTCTCAGCTGTAAAACCTGCGGGTAGTTAGAAAGTCCCTCCTCGCCTCTGCCATCTGCCTTGAGAGTGGGGTGCCCCATCCTGGGGCCTGTACCTCTCAGCTCCACCTTGCCGCTGTAGCTGCCCAGGTAGCGGGTGTCGGTGGAGGGCGTGTAGCACTCGTACACGCCGGCGTCCTGGGCCTGCAGGCGGGCAATCTTGAAGACCACGGCGTCACCCTGCAGGCGCTGCACCTGCATTTCACCAGCCGCCACGCGGGGCCCGAAGACGGCATAGGAGAAGCGGGCATCCCTGGTACTGACGATGCCCAGTGCAGCCTCCGGGGCCTCGGGCCTGTACAGGAACCACTCAAAGTCCTGCTGGGCAGGGCCCTCGTAGCCAGTCACATTGCAGGGGATGGACACGGCCGTGCCAGCCACACGATACAGGGGCCCCTTGGGGACCAGCACCTCCCGGGCACAGCACCCGATTCCTGTGGGAAAGGTAGGAGTTGATGCCTGGGTCCCCATGCCGCCCCGCACACACACCAGCATCGTTCTTGACCCCTGCCTGCAAAAGGAAAGGAGACCTGGGGACAGTGGCTGTACAGCCGAGGCCCTGTTCGGAGGACAGGGAAGGGATCCTAGGGCATAAGACACCGGGGTCTCAAGGAGGTGGCACAGGCCCAGGTTTGTCCCAGACCCGAGACACCATTTCTGCCGATCAGAAGCTGAGCACCTGAGAGCAGGACTCCGGCTGATCCTCACGTCACCCTCCATCCCAGCTGGGCCTTGCTCCCCAACCGCCTGTGTCTGCCATTCCTTCCGGGGGCCAGGTCAGAGGGGAGACCACACGCTCCCTCCTCTGCAAAATCTTAATCAGAAAGGCTGGTTGGCTCAGCTGTGTCACCTGGGCCGGACAATGGAGCCAGTGGCCCAAGCCGGACAGGGCACGGACCCAGTCAGTTCTCACGGCACAAAGCCCTCCCCCCTCCAGCTGTGCCATGAGCTCACTGCTGCTCTCACCCCAGGGCTGCAAGGCTGCAAGGCAGCTGGGACTTCTGGGGCAAGAACGGAGCCCTGCCCTGGCCTGGGGGGTGGGACAGAGCGTCCTGCCCCCAGTGCCTGCCAGCCATGGGGCAGCTGGCCATGCCCATCGCCCATGCCCCACTCCTAACAAAGTCTCATTTGCATATGGTATGCCCTTATTTACATATGGCTCCCTTTTTAAAATAGAGGCACCCCACACACACACACACACACACACACACACACACAGCTGTCCCTTCCCAACTCTCACTCCTCAGAGGCCAAACGTCTCTTCTCCACCCTGCCCCTGTCCTCATGCCCACTCCTGGCAACCTCGAGGACTCAGCTACCTTTTCTCCTTCCATCCTTCCGCGGTTCCCACTAGTGAGATCAGAGAATCCCAAAAAGCAAGGAACACCAGGCGTTTCCCTCCCCCGATTTCATAGCCGAGAAAGGTAAGGCAGGAGGAGGGCACTGTCTTGGCCAAGACCCTGCTGTCCCTGGATGGCTTCCACACAGCCCTGCAGGGAGACAAGACCAGGGCGGAAGATGGGGAAGTTCCAAGGCCAGACCTGATGACCTCACCCATCAGAATGGGACTTCCAGGACGCGCGGGGGGACATCCATGGCCTCTCTGCCTGAGTAGGTGGAAAACACCCAGGAGTCTGTGGGCAAAGTCTGCCCTCCAGCTCCCCTAGAATGGCTCTTCCGTCTCCCCACCCAGCTGGGCTCTCAGCCCTTCCTTCTCCCTCAGGCTGAATCACGGGGAGAACTCATGGTCTGCTGCTCGGGCACAGGACGGGGCACGGGCTGGGAGTCGGGAGGCTGGGTTCCTGCCCCATCTCCACCCCCAGCTGTGTGGTCGGAGACCAAGCCCTTTCCTGTCCCAGTCCCAGGCCTCAGCTTCCTTGCTGGAAGAGAGGGAAGAGCTCCCAGATCTACCAGCAAATCAGTGAGTGACTCAGGAGGGCCTTGCTCCAGGGGCATTTCATAATCAGGGTGAAGGTGGAGACAGCCCAGCTGACACCTTGCCTGGCCGCCTTGCCTCGGGGCAGACTGCTCAGAAGGGCCCCCTCCCACCTTCCTGGCTCCACAACTGCTGATGCTCAGAGATCCCCATGGGAAAGTCACCCCCACCGCCTTAGGAAATCAGCTGCCACACAGCTCTCTCCCCGCCAGGCCCCTCCTCCCTGTGCGCTGCCAGGGAAGGAAGATGAAGAGAGAAGGGGCCTGCTTCAGAGTCACCTGGGTTCGAACCCTAGCCGAGCACTCACAGCTGTGCTCTGGACAGTCACTGCACCATCCTCATCTGCGAAGTGAGCGTGAGTGCCCACATGCACACAGTGGGCGCTCAGGTCTGCAGACGAGCTGCAGGGCCTCATCTTCCCTGGCCTGTGTACCACACGTCCCCTGAGAGCCCCCTCTGCTCTGTACTGCCCTGGGGAAACCAGCGGAGTGCTAGGCAACCAGACCCCTGGGCTCCTCTCTGTGCACATCCTCCTGCCTCCAGCCCAGGGCCCTGAGAGAGCTCCTCCCAGCCCCACAGGCCCCAGGGACCTGCTGCAGGGGAAGACTGCCTGGCTCCACTCGTAGCTCTCCTCTGAAGGCAGCTAGGCCACTGTCTGCCCCAGCCTGGACCACTGTGGCTCTGAAGTCACCCTCCCCTTTTCCCCCCCCACCCCCAGTACTGCTCTCTTACTTCAAGGGATTCAGCTCCCTGAACATTTGCGCAGACAGATGCGCAGATAGAGAAAGTCTCCATGCCTCACTCTTCCCCAGACCACTTCCTACAGGAAGACTTCCAGTCACATCCCCAACAATTTCACTATCCCTACCCCTATGTGCCTGTGCAACTTGGCCCTCAACACCCAACCATGAACACCCATGGGGGCTTGGAGATCCCAGGATGAGTCTCCAGGGAGCCTGGTTTCTCCTGAGGCAGAGAAGCTGGGACTAATGGGGTGTGATATCGGCTGGGAGGCTGAGGGCCAAGTGCCACCTGGGAGAAGGGGAGAAGGGCAGGGACCCTGACGGCATGGAGATGGGTTAAGAGAGGGCACTGTCCCCCAGTCTCACGTGATGAAGCGCGTGTGTAGGGGGGGGCGCAATCAGGGGAGATTTACTTCAAAGGTCTTGGGCAGAACCGGCCCCTGGGCCTCCAGCCAACTCGCCGGGCAATTACGACGATGGGCAGGCACTGCCCACGCAGGGCGAGCACCCAAGGCCAGGCCCGCAGCTGAGTGTGGGGCAGTGGCAGCATTTGAACCTGGGCACGCCAGCTGAGAAGTGGGGCTGGCCCCAGGGCCTGGCAGTGGAGATTTACTTCAAAGGTCTTGGGCAGAACCGGCCCCTGGGCCTCCAGCCAACTCGCCGGGCAATTACGACGATGGGCAGGCACTGCCCACGCAGGGCGAGCACCCAAGGCCAGGCCCGCAGCTGAGTGTGGGGCAGTGGCAGCATTTGAACCTGGGCACGCCAGCTGAGAAGTGGGGCTGGCCCCAGGGCCTGGCAGTCGCTGAAGCCACACCTGAGTGGGTCGCCACTGTGCCCCAACCCCAGGGCCTGGAGCCGGACAGCCCTGGCTCTCCCCTTAACCGGCTCAGACGGCCACTAAGGGCAGCTAGGCGAAGAGCCCGGCGAGGCTGGGATACCTCCGACGGAGAAACGGGATGCGAGGAGCCCCGAAATGCCGCGGGCTGGGCGCAGGGTGGCAGGCACCTGCCGGCGGGGGCGGGAACCGGGGCGGGGGCCGGGCTTACCCAGCGTTAGCAGCAGCAGCAGCAGCGGCGGCGGCGTGGGGCCGAGGGCGCCCATCCTGCTCTGGGGAGGATCCAGGGGGCAGCGCGGGCTCTAAGGGTCCGGGGGCGCGGGGGGCGCATGCCCGGTGGGGGGCAGGAAGCGAAGCAGCGAGGCGTGGGTGCGCGGAGCGGAGCGGAGCAGAGCTGGTGTTGCCAAGTCTCCTCCCGCCTCCCCTCCTCCCGCTGTTTTTTTTTCGGCGGCAGACGGCAACTAGGCTCAGTCGAGTCTCCGCCCACCTCGCCTAGAGCGCACTCCGCCCCACACCTGTCGGCCCTTCCCAGAAAGCTGGGCGCAGGGGCCCTGGGATTGGAGGACGGCCGCCACGCACTTAGGACCCAGTTATTTGCTCTGGGCAACGAGTCCTCGCTGCAAACCCTGCTGAAGCACTGGCGGGCGGGGCCCAGGAGTTCCCGCACGGGCAGGTTTGGGTTGAAAGGAATATCAAGACTTGGGAAGGTCGAAGGAGACCTGTTTGCCACCACCCTGAGAGGGCAACACCAGAGAGAAATGAGTTAGGAGGTAGCCCGTCTGAGCGCCGTCACTTCCTGGTCCAGTTGCTTAACCAACCCCAGTATTGGCCTCTGCCAGTTAAACCAAGGTGACATCATCCCCCAGAGGGTTATTGTGATAACTGGCGGGGATCAAATACACAGGTGTTTGACACAGGGTAACTGACACACAAAAGAGGCTGGGAGAGAGTTGTTCTGTTTAAATTACTGTTTAAACTGCTCACCCCCCCCCTCACTCTCTACTCACCCCTTTACAGAGGGGGAAGGGGAGGCCCAGAGAGGGAAGGTCACACAGGTCAGACCTGACTTCCCTTGAGTTTCTTTTCCTAGAGCCTGGCACAGTGCCCAACTCAGGGAAGAAGCCTCCTTCAGGAACCCTGGAGGAGCCAGAGAAACAGAGGCAAATGTTTGGGTCCCTGAAGGGAAATCAGGGGCCCCACCCTCCTTCACCTCCCTCACCTGCCAGGACTGGCCCAGAAGCAGGGCAGCAGGTGGCCTGTTTATTCTACTTTGACATATTCCCAGTCTAATCTGTCTAGACCCATTTCATCTCAATCCATTCCCAGGCGACTGAACTATGTGAAAATGAAAGTCACAGGAAAACTTTTGGAGGAAAAACACTCTCCGCTTATTTGGAAGTTGAGTGGCTTCAATGCCTGCTTGCTGCTTGAGGGAGAGGCAGAGAGACGTTACCAATCGTAGTAAGTGCAGTTCGCAGAATATGTACATGTTAAGACTCTCTGGTATTACTTCGTCTTCACAGCATATTAAAGAGGGTGTCACTAAAACAGAAGACAAACCTGAGGTTCAGCGTGGCTGAGTACCTTTCCCAAGGCCACACAAGCTTACTTGTCTGGGTTTTAGATTTTTGCCATTAGGGTAGGTGCACTTGTCAGAGAGAGAAGGAAAGTAAGAAATCACCTCCCAGGGGGAATGGCCACACTAGAATCCCTTCTCCTCCATTCTCCTCTGGGGATTTTGGGCACGCATGCACATATACGCAGCGTGTTTTTCAAGTCACCCGGTCCAGGACTAGAGCCATAGAGTCAGCCATGTGGGATCCAGTGTCTTAACCACCTGACCTGGCCACACAGCCTTTAAGGGGCTAAAGGATGGCTCGAGCTCAGGCCTGCCTGTAACCAAAGCCCCAAATCTCCCTACACCCCCTGCCCCATTTATTCAGCAAATACTCATCGGGCCGGGCCTTATGCTGGGCACCGGAGGTACGGTGGTAAACAAGGCCAGTATGGCCCCTACCCCCAGGGAACAGTGCGGCATGTGCTAGGGAGACATGCCATAAACAAGTAATAACCACCCCCAGTTACGAGAAGGATCTTCAGGAAGTTGGGGGCCCACCCTCAGTTTGTGGTTTGGGGATGGGAAGGTGTTAATGACTGGGCTGGCATCTCCAGAGGGAACCAGACTGAATGTCCCTTTCTAGGCTGTGGGGTCTGACGGTGGCCAGCAGGGGGAGCCCCCAGCCCAGGCCTGACTGGCACTCAGCCGCTTATGTAACTGGGAGAGCTGGGGGAGGAGAGCCAAGCCCAGGCACGCGGCCCATCACACCAGACCCGTGTGTCCACAGGAGCAGAGAGGGCTTCACGAAGAAAGATGTCACACGCACACCCCAGCAGGGCGATGCGCAAACACACGCGTGTGCTGCACAGGAGGACTGCACTGTATGACCGGGAGAGCGCTCTGGTTCCCACTGATGGCTTCGCACCCTGAGAGAACACCCAGGCTTTCCACCACTGAGGCTGCTGTCCTGCGGCGGGGCTGGCGGGAAAAGGAGGAAGGAAGCCTTTTAGGGAGCCCTGGGGTCTGACCAAGACCAGAAGGGGGAGGAAGTCGAGTGCAGAGACATGGTGAGATGTGCGGTGGTGGCCGCAGAACCCAGGCGCCTGGCTGGATTGTGTCACCACCACGCACGGCCGGCTTCCTGCCTGCCTCCACGTACCACCAGGGGCAGAGTGCGTCAGAGCCAACGCTGTTCCCATGCTTGATTAATCCATGTCCCTGCCAGTTGACATAAGTACAAGGCGCCAACAGCACGAGGCATCAGGATTATTGTTAAAGAGCAATAGGACCCGGGGCCAGCACATAGTGTAACCGTTACGTCGCCTCACTCCCACTTGACCAACTGTGGTTTGAGTCCCAGACTCGGGGGCTTGAAACTCATGCTGGGTGTGTGTGCATATGCGCCCCACATCCCAGGAGGAAAATGGAGGAGAAGGAATTGCAGCGTGGCTTTCCCCGCTGGGGGGTGATTTCTAACTTTACTGTCTCTGTCTCTCTCCAGTGAGTGCACGCACCCTAAGGCAAAAAGTAAAATAAATAAATAAATAAAGAGGATCTATGCTCTGCCCCATCGCAGTTGGTAACCTGACTGAAATGTCCCACCCTGCAGTCACGACCAAGGAGAACGGCATTGGAGCACATTCAGACGGGACTGTGAGCGCATCTCCACCCGTGCCAGGTGTGTAACGTGATGTCTCATCCTCCCCAGCACCCCGCAAGGTTGGCGCTATTATTATCCCCGTGAGAAACTGGGGCGTAGGGACGTTAAAGAACTTGCCCCAGGTGAATGAACTAGCCACCGTCCAGACATGCATTTTAACCTGTGGAAACTGTGCTTCCACCCTGGTTCCCCGGAACAGCACTACAGACCCAGCACACACAGCATACACCAAGCTATAGACACAGATCTCGCCATGGAGACAGGGCGACAAGCCCGTCGAACCAGCAGACTAATAGACATGACCCAAGCGCACACATTGCTCTCAGGGCCTTCGCTCTCTCCTTAAATGTGTATAAACCCCAGCTTCCGGGGAGCTAAGAATCACACGCGAGAATGTGCTGTGATTTGTGTGTTTATAAAGCCTTGACCCGCACTGCCTTGATGAGCTGTATTTTCCCACCCTCCTAAAAGGGGAAATTCTCTGCTGAGTGGCTGAGAGGCTCCAGAAAGAGTCAGAGACAGGGAAAGAGCGAGGTCCTCCCCTCAGCCTGTTAGCAAACTCATGCGGCTACACCAACACAGAGGTGCACGTGCAAAAATGAACACACAGAGCATGCACGCCCGACACGCCTCTCCCACCCCCACACACTTGCACATACTTGTACACGACCCCCTTCCTCCCAGGGCCAGGTGTCTGTACCGTCTCGGGTGCTAGCGTGTGTGCGTGTGCGTGTGCGTGTGCACGTCCACCCCATCAAGCCTCCTCTTGCACTGGCTGAGCCTGCACTCCCGCCCTCGTTCTCAGACCCTCTGCCAAGAGGGTGGCACAGCTGTTCAAGGATAAAGGAGTTGCAATGCCCCCAGGGCCTCAGCGTGACCTGACCCTGACTCCTGAGGGGGCCTTGCCATTTCTGTACCCAGGATTGGTGCCAGCTGCCGCCCACTCTGGAATGCCACTCATGGATCCTTCCAGGCTGGAATCCCTCAGCCTCTATCCCTGACAGGTTCTTTGTTCCCCAGTCTCACCGGGCGGGTGCCTGGGCTTCCCCCGCTGAGGCTCCCCCTCATCCCTCTTGGTTCTCAGAAGCGCAGAGGGAACTGATGGCACAGACCTACGTCCAGAGGGCAGTGCAGGGTTGGCCACCCCTGCTGTGTGATGTCACTTCTTCCCCCTCTGAGCGGCCTGGGTGGGTGGGTGTCAGTCAAGGGCAGGAGAGAAGAGTGGTTTGGTTAAACAGAGGTTTGGAGGCCGAGAGCTGCAGAGGGCCCTCGGGGGGCAGGGGTGTTAACACAGGTGGTGGCCTCTGAGTCACTGAGGTGAAGCAAGAGACAGTTCATGTACAAGTGTGTCTCCATCGGTTCTGAGGGAGGGGGAGGAGCCATCGCAACTCCTACTGCTGAGATCCCGCCAAGCGCAGCAGGGCTGCCAGCCGCACCTGTTCACTCTCTGTCTTCACGCAACCCCAGCGGGTACCCCTGTGGTTATCTCTATTTTCCAGATGGGAACAGAGACTCAGAGAGGTTCTAGAACTTGCCCAGGGTCTAGGGACCAGCAGGTGGCATGGTGGCTAAGGCACTAGACACTCCCACATGGCTGACCAGGGTTCAAGTCCTGAATCTGGTGGCTTGCTTTCTCACTTCCTCTCTCTCTCACTCTCACCCTCTGTCTCTTTCTGGTCAAATTTTAAAAATAAATGAATGAGGGGGAACCAGCAGTTAGCGTAATGGCTATGTCGCTGGACTGAGTGAAAATCTCTCAAAATAAAATAAAATAAAATAAATGAATGAGGGACCAGCAGTTAGCGTAATGGCTATGTCGCTGGACTCCCATGTAGTCAACGGTGGTTCGTGTCCTGGACCCGGTGGCTTAAAACTCATGCCGGGCATGTGTGCGTGCGTGCCCAAGATCCCGAGAGGAGAATGGAGGAGAGGGGATTGTGGCGTGGCCATCCGCCCTGGGGGGTGATTTCTCGCTTTCTGTCTCTGTCTCTCTCTGTCTGTCTGGCGAGCACACGCGCCCTATAGCAAAAACCTCTCCAAAAGAGAAGAAAAGAAAAGAAAAGAAAGAATAAATAAAATAAAATAAAATAAATAATTACCAAAAAAATAAAGAGAGAGAGAGAGAGAACTTGCCCGGTGTCACGGAGCTAGCACTAGATCCCAGATGTAAACTCAAGCCAGCATCTCACCTCTAGCTCTTCACATACTTCCTCCCC